TTCACGTTGTTTTTAAGCTAACTCTGTTTCAGGTGCAATAGCTCATGTGTATCAAACTGGCAGAAGGCAAGGCAGGGAAGATATGGCAGAGGAAACTCTAAAGAAATCCATTTCCGCGCACACTCAACGCCGCTCATGTGTCCTCACCAATGCTACAGTCTAGAGCTGCGGAAGCAGCCCTGTGGAAGGCCTGGCACTCCTGTGTTGGCCAACCAGCAAATATTAACGTAGCGCCTCAGTATCGCTGCAGACAGCTTCCCGGCGGCACTGAAAGGGACCTGGCTGGGGCCAGCCCTCCTCCCTCTGCCCCAGGCCGGGCTTATTCAACTGAAGCACAGCGGATACGCGGTTTCTGTAGGTAACACTGAGGGTTTCTGTAGGTAACACTGAGAGTTACCTACGTTTGACTTTCCTCATTTCACAACCCACACTCCTAGCCCTAAGCATACACGTGCTTCACCCACAGAACCATTACCTCACAGCCTTTTATTTCCTTTTCTTTTTGGCTGAACCTTCTAACCTACTTTAGAAAAAAAAATTAAAAAATTCCCCAGCGCCCTGTTCTCTCCAGTTATAGCACCAGGAAGGTGCGCTGGGGCCGGACCATGGAATTTGCCGTGGGGAAACCCGCTGATGACAGCGGAACCCGCCCGCCTGTGAATTCCCGCGGCGCCCGCCACCCCTTCATAAGCAGGTGGAGGTGCAGCAGGGCTGGCAGGACGGGCAGGAGCCAGCCCAGCACTCGACGAGCGTCCAGCTGCTGCACAGAGGGGACATGGCAAGCTTTAGCAGCCACGGTGTGCTCCTGGTTTCGCTGGTGGGGCTCCTGGTGCTGGTCCTCTGCGGCACTGGCGAAGGTAAGGGTGAATGGGCAGGTGGGGCACACCAGGAGGGCGAGAGGGGTGGGAACCGGCGCAGCAAGGGACACTGGCTGTCCTGCTCTCATGCTGGCGGGGAGCTGGGCGGGCAGGGGGCTGATCGGCGAGCCCCCGAGCAGCTCCCAACGTGTCCTCTGCCTTCGCTGCAGCACAGAGCAACCAGGACTGCTGCCTGTCCTACACCAAGGTGCGCTTGCCCCGCTGGGCCCTGAAGGGTTACTCTGAGCAGCTCTCCAGCGAAGTCTGCGACATCCATGCGATCATGTGAGTTACCCTTTGAGAGCATCTGTTGTTTTCTGACATGTATTAACCTTAAGATGGCTGTTTGGGCAGAAACAACAATTTGAACATCGCCAGCATGACTTTTCTTGCTTTTTCAAAACGTTAGCTGGCTGAATTGTATATAATTCCTATTAACAAAATACAGCCTCTAGCCGACAGGGACCACTAACTCAGAGGACGGCAGCCCCGTGTAAATAACAAGTCGGGCTGTTTGGGAATCCGCCGTGCGCACACAGACCATCTGAGGGCCACTAGCCAGCACAGGTGGTTCCCCTGCCAAAACCTCTTACGTGTCACAATAAGCAGTAAGTTTTCTTAATACACAGAGATTGGACTGTTTGGGTTTTTTCCCCCACAAGGTTTTAGCCCTTCTAAATGTCGATTTGCCACCGTAGCTTGACAGCAACTATTCTTAGTCTCACCAATGATTCTTGGCACCCAGTAAAGTTTTTTGTCTCAGTAGTTCCAATAAACTGAGCACAACTTTACTGAGCAAAAAATGATCCCTGAGGTTGAGGCAGCTGTTGCAATTAAATTTCATTAGGTGGTGGAGTTTTGTTGTTCATATAATACTGGAGGGATTGTGGAGCATCCCATATCTAACTGGCATTTACAAAACCAGCTGCTATTGTTTGTTATACAAAGTAATGATGATGCACATTTTTGACCAAATGCATCTTCACAGTATATACTTACAGGGATTTCTTATGATTTCCTGATCTCTTTATTGTTATTTCTTTTCCAGATTCCACACCCGCAGTGGGCTGCACGCCTGTGTAAATCCTAGGGAAGCCTGGGTGAAGAAGCATCTTCTTTTCCTGAGGTAGGAATCTAAAAACCTGAATACTGCTAGGCTGATGAGAACAGAGCACGTATGAAAGCCCATTTCTTACACGTCCCGCAAGCCACTTGCCATGGCGATGCTCAACAGGGGTGTCTTTCAGTCTCTGTCAGAGATGAGTCCTCTCGGGGACAGTCCTGTCTCCTGTCCCTTTTTCTACTTGAGCTATTCTCTCTGGAGGTGCCGCATCCGGGAGTGAGGAACACGGCTGAGGCCACTCTTGACGCATGTTCTCTCCCTCCATTAACAGCCAGAAGCTCAAGAAGATGTCCACATGACGTGGTTTCCAGCAGGGAACTGAAGCAGACACGGCTGAGGAACCATGAGGTTCAACGTCTCGGCTGAGGTCGGCACCCTGTACACTGTTGTGTGCTTACTCACCACTGTCTCTGGCTTCTTTGGAACCGTTGAACAACCCGAGTTGATTCATATTGCATCACTAGTTTGCTTGAATTAAGCATTTTGTTAAAGTTTCTACTTTTACTAATATGTGTATGTCACTAATATGACAGGATTGCTATTTAGTAAGGACTACCCTAAGCTGTTGTACAGAGCATGAGTTTTACTGAGTTTATTGCATGTTGGTTTTGTTTTCTTCAGTATGTGTAAAGCGGGTTATTTATTCTGTTTATTCTGTTACTCCTCTGGCACAGCTTTGTGCCAAAATATTTCCTTTTAACTGTAGTTAGTATCTCAAACTATTGTTAAAGAAAGTCTGCTTGTGGAAAAAATGGAAATTGGAGTTTTAAAATAATAAACGTTAAAATCTGCACTCTCTGCGTGAGATGTTTATCTTTTTAATTGAAAAAGGTCTTTTCCCCTTGACATTAATTCCTCCACTTAGGAGCCTCCAGGTGAAACAGTTACAGTGGTGTATTCACACCTGTTAAAGCCACTTGCCCCCTTGCTCCCTCTGGGTAGCTCTGACCTCCATAGGGCAGAGTTCCTTCCTCCCCCCCTCCCCAGCTGCTATAAAAGAAGCGTTTGTTTAACGTAGACCTGTTCTTAGCTCAATTTCATCTTAATCACATGTCAGAGAATTTCTCTTAGCAGTTTATTTATTAATGAGAAATCTTACAGATGTTGTTGCAGGGCAAGCTTCTAGCTCATCCACTGAGAAGGACTATGACTACGGTAACACTTTCTGCTCTTTAATTTATACTTAAAGCACCTTTTGTGTTTTCGAGAAAGGAGCTGAGGAGGTGTTGGGTTTTTTAAATGGTGTTCATGAGTGCAAGGCTGTTACGTTCTGGTTTCAAAACTTGCTAGAATTTAAGCAATGTGCTAGCAGCTCTGCAAATGTGGGAACCAGTGATTGTGGGTGAAGCTCTGAAGGAGCGTGACTGGTTTTAGCTTCCAGCAGGGGCATCCCATGTCCCCGATACTAAGAACATCAGGTGAAAAGCTATCAGCTTCCCAGGGAGGAGCAGCTGCCCAGCCCCTTCTCTAGGAATTCCCCTAACTTCTGGGCAAAACTGCAGCACTCTGCCTTGGTGCAGAAAAGCCTGGAGCCTCAGCTAGCCATTTCGAAGCAGGGGAGCAAAATAAGAAAGGCGAAGACCAATGCATCGAATTCTGTGAGCGGCTCCTTGTGCTCCCAGGCTGGGCCTGTTCAAAGTTTTGTATTGCTTCTGTGACTTGTCCTTCCCCTTGCCAGCCGTGGCTCCATGGCCACAAAGCCCAGGTGCTTCATCCACAGAGCTATGGCTTGTGGGATTTTTTTTTTTATTTCCTCTTATTCTGGATTTTTTTTTTTATACTCAACTGCATTGGAGGGAAAATATAAAAAAGAAAATAGATTTCTATGTCCAATAACATAGATTGATAAGATGGTTATGTTACTGGTAGGAAATTCCACATTCCCCAAGCATTCCAAGGCTACAAATGTGCACTATATAGGCAAGTGCTGTGCGTCCAAAATCATCAGATCAGCAGCACATTTGTACAAGAAACTGTACAAAGCCAGTTAAAAGTTCTGGCAGCTCTGAAGATCCTGAGGGTTTCTAGGAAAACCTGGATCCTAATTGCTTTGGTCAGGCTGCTCTGCATTTGCGCAGGTAAGTCTCTTTTTCCCCTGTCCCCTTGGCCCCCAGCTCCTAACTCAGGATGTGCAGTTCTGTTGAACAGTTTGAGATGCGGAGTCATGCGGGTCTTGCGTTGAGACCAATTCTCAGTGACGCCTGTGCCTGCTGGAGTATTTTTGAATCCTATTTGTGCCTATTCTTTCCATTGTTTTGTTCGTTTGTTTGCTTGCTTTGTTGTTGCTTTAGTTTTGTTTTGTTTGGGTTTTTTAAATTCTTTTTGCTTCTTTTCTTAAAGCAATCTTGCACCATTCTGAGTCAGGACATGTGAGCACTTCACTAGCTTGGGATCTTTGACAGAAAACACTCTCTTCATATATGAATCATAATTAAATTTACTAATTTCTTTTTTTTTTTTCTCCCACTCCAGCAAGGCAACAAAATAACCTAGCATTGCATGGACAGCAATTTCTGTAACCCATAGTGAACCTTCTGCTGATTGAATTTTGCTGTTAAAATATAAAACCTGCAGGGCAAGTACTAACAAGTTTCTGGCTGCGTTACCGCTCCGTTGATGCTAGCTCCTAACTATCATAGAACCATCCAGGTTGGAAAGGACCCCTGGGATCGAGTCCAGCCATGAACCCTACTCTACAAAGATCAGCCCTAAACCATCTCCCTCAACCCCACATCTAAACGACCCTTAAACATGCCCAGGGATGGGGACTCCACCACCTTGTCGGGCAGCCTATCCCAACGTCAGACTACTCTTTCTGTGAAAAATTTTTTCCTGATATCCCTAACCCTATCCACTGAAGCCTGTTTTTTTTTCCTCATGTCTTGTTTTTCCCACCTTCCCCACAGAGCGGGGCTGTAAGGCATGTGCAAGTCCAAGAGACGAAAGGGTGAAGGCCCTTCTTAGCCCGAGGTACGCGTGTTGCCAAGGCATCTCTCAATATACGTAGGCCCCCAGCGTTACTGGGCGTTCTCACTGGCCGTGACAGCGCTCGCGCTCCCGCAGGGGCCTTGGTGGTCGGTCACACATTTTCAGCTGCCAAAGCCAAGGAGCCCGCATGCAGCTGAGCTTCACTCCTGGTGACTGAACTCGGCATTGTTCTCCTGTAATTTCGTTGAGAAGCGAATCTCGGGGAGTTTGTGAACCAAGCCAAAATATGAATCACAGAAGCAGCTTTTTGCCTTCAGACAAGCCCAGCGCATTGCATGCACTAAGTTTACAAAGCGATTAGAGCCGTGTGACTGTACAGGAACGGGAAATACGCTCTGTGCTCCTGCGAGGCTGCAGGGCTCTGCTCTGCTCTGAGAGCTGTCGGCCTGAATGCCCAGCACCGCAGCCCGAACTCTGCCGAAGGGTTTTAAACTGCTGTGCTTGTTCCCTCTGCGCTATCAACTGCAGGTAAGTGTCCAGTCAAAGCACACCAAGAGCTGCTGGCGTTAGCACGTTTAAATGCAATATACAACAGGTACAGCAATGTGGCTGCTGCTATATATCAAGCATAGAGTGTTGCTCATGCAGCTACTACCGCAAATAAGACCAGGCACCTGAGTAACAGTCTTTTATCTTCCCTGAATTTATGGCATTGCTTAAAGATTGGGCATATTTAGTGTAAAAGCATCAGATGAAATTGAGAGTACTGTATGCTTAAAAAGCAAATCCGTCGCAGCAAAACTAAAGGCTAAAATACTATTGTTAGTTGTTATTATGAAGTTTACAACAGCATTTCTAGTTTTAGTTATACCCCCCAAAACAAAGTGAACCATTTTATTTGTAACCATCTGCATCTACATTTCCACGCTCCTGAAATTTTGCTACTCCCTAACTTTAAAGTGAAAAATCTTCCCCCCTCCCCCTTTCTTTTTATCAAGGAAACAATCAATAGCTTGGGTTGAGATCCCCCGGAGCTTTTTGCCTCCTCCTGGCTCGAGGTGGTTTGCCTCTCTCAGGCAGAGGCAGGAGAAGGGCTCCTCTGTTTTCCTTATAAGGTGCATCCAGACGACTCCCTGGCTTTCACCTTGCAGCTCACACAATGTGGCCACAGAATACTTGCGCAATCACCTGATACTGTCAGGTTTGCCACCGCGACTGGATGACAGAGCTCTCGTGCACCAACTTCAGCCCACTGCAGTCTGGGCCATGGAAAGAAAGACTCAAGGTCCTTCTGAGTTCTTCTCAGAGCGGGTAAGATAAATATAGTTTATTGTGGTTTTCTGTTTTGGTTTGGGTTTTTTTTTTTTTGGATGGCCTTTTTTTTTTGATTGTCAGGCCTACCTATCATCTTGGAAAGTGGACAGCAAGGAAAAGCATTTTTTTTCAGCTAAGTGAAAATCTGACTGAAACAAGTAAAGATGTATGGAATGTATGTGACTGTGTGGGATATGAGGAATTGGAAGAAAAAGAGAAAAGAAAGGAAAAGAAAGGAAAAAAGAATGGAAGAGATAAGAAAGGAAAAGAAAAAAGAAGAGAGTAAATAGTAAAGAAGAGGACTGCTGTTTCTTTCTGGTACTTGCTACTATTTCACTGTAGGTACACAATGATGTATCTATTAATGTGAAAAACTTGCAGGTGACGCACTTTCTAGGTAAATAGAAATTAGTAATTTTTTTTTTGAGATAACTTTGAATTGACGAAAACAGCCATGCAAGGACAAAAATCAATCTTTGGGAAAGTGAACAAAGTGCTCCCTTTCCCAAAGATTGTTTGTTCTATAACACACTGTCGGGTCTTTCTCCCAGAGCAGCTCTTGCCTAGCAAACAGCAGATTCCCAGATTATGTCCTTATCCAAGTAATAGAGTGTAATATATAGTGTAATGCAAGTCATGTGTATTTTCTTCAGGGCTCTGCTGTCATGAGTGGCTTTGGAAATTGCAGAGCAGAAGTGAGAAGGAGCTGTAACAATACACAGAGAAGCGTACGTGTATAGCGGTGTCTGTCTGGGCAAGAGGAAGCAGGTTATCTGCACCAGGATAAAACAACCTTGAAAAAAATTACCTAAACCCATTTCATTCATCAAACAGAAACAAGGAAATAGCAGAGCACAGCCCTTCTGACAACTATGAGAAAGGACAGCAGGCAAAAGCTCCCCTGGGTAAAACTCCACTGTACCCGCTACGAGCACAACAGAAATAGGAAGTGGCTTTCTACGTCTTTCCCTTAACTCGGGCTGCTCTCGGGTTGGCCTTTCTGGTTCGGCTCAGTACACCACAGGCTGACCTACTTCACAACCAGTGGTTCACGATA